CGAGGCCATGGGGCCTTGGCTGCTGCGCGCCACGCAGGGCTGCGCCCCGCTGCTGCGCCCCGCCCTCGAGGCGCTGCGCGCCTCCGCGCCCCTGCTCGAGGCCGCGTACGGCGACCTCGTCGCCGCCGGCGCCGTGCAGAGGTCCGCGGACGGCCCGCATGCACCGCACCGCGGCTGGCACCCTCCCATCCCTCCCTCCCTCCCTCCCTCTCCCCCCCTCCCTCCCTCCCTCCTCCTCCTCCTCCCTCCTCCTCCTCCTCCTCCTCCTCCTTCTCCGTCCCCCTCCTTCTCTCTCCTTCCTCCCTACTCTCCTCCTCCTCCTCCTCCTCCTCCTCCTCCTCCTCCTCCTTCCTCCTCCTCCTTTCCTCTTCTGCCTTCCTCCTTCTCTCCTCCTCCTCCGCCTCCCCTCCTCCTCATCGAGCGAGGCCTTCCTCCTCCCCTCTCCTCCTCCCTCCTCCTCGATGCCTCCCTCCTCCTCCCTCCTTCCCCCTCCCTCCCTCCTTCCCTCCCTCCTCCCTCCCTCCCTCCTTACCTCCTTCTCGTCCTCGTACTCCTCCTCCTCCTCCTCCTCCTCCTCCTCCTCCTCCTCATCATCATCGTCCCTCCTCCATTCCTGTTCCTTATAAGCATCTCCTCCCTGTCGCACCCCGAGGCTGGTTGAAAGGGCGGGCCAGGCGCTTCGCCTGAGATTACCTCACCATTTGTGACCTTGTGACCATGAAGCTTAACATGAAAACCGTGTTCACAGATGGAAGGCGAGTGAATTTCAGCATGTTGCTCTCGCCTCAGCGCCCGCGCTCATTCGTTTTAACAGTTTGTAAGAGTTTAACGGATTGAGGGCGGGCCGTTTTCAAAATGCGGTTCTCGCCTTAGCGCCGCTCGCATTCGTGTTAAAACAACGCAAGAGTTTCACGGATTGTGGGCGGGTGGTTTTCAACATGTGGCGCTCGCTTTAGCGCCGCGCGCATTCCTTTGTAAAACTTACAGGAGTGTCACACATTTAGGGCGGGTCGTTTTCAAATGGTGGTTATTGTTTTAGCACCGCGCACAATCGCCTTAAAAGTTTGAAAGAGTTTCACGGATTGAGGGCGGTTCGCTTTCAACGTGAGACGTTCGCCTTAGCGCCGAGCACATTCTTCTTCAAAGTTTGCAAGAGGTTCACATATTGAGGGCGGTTCCATTTCAAATTGTGGTTCTCGCCTTAGCGCCGTGCACATTGGTTGTTATATTTCGCGACAGTTTCACGGATTCTCCCGGCTAACCTACCAGGAATGGTGTGTTGGACCGATTCATGACTGTCAGGGTGCAACAGTTACGTTTATCTTTTGTGTTGAAGTCCCAGGAGTGGTGTTCTGGCACGATTTAGGATCGCCAAGACCTCACAATCACGCTAACTCGTGGCGTTGAAGTCATGAGAATGGTGTTTGGGCGCGCATCCGGATTGTTACACGGTTGTCCCCCAACAGGGCGTTTCTTATAGTGGAAGTGAACTTGTTTGTTGGGCCTATGATGAGAGAGCGTGGAGGGAAGTTTTGTTCCAACATCGCTGATGAGTCTTAGGTTTACATGCGCTGGTCCCTCCTACGATTTTCAGTGACTGTTGAAACGTGTGTGAATATGTGAAGATGTATTGGGCCAGCCAGACTTCTCATAAAAGAATGTGTGCAGGCTATGTTCAGTTTGTTCGACAGAACCTTCCTGTGGTGAAGGTCAACAAGGTTCACTTGGACGTGAATGCGTCCACTGACTCAGATGTTGATTTTAAGAGGCTGGGAACAACCTAGTTGACGCGTCGGCGAAAGTGGCAGCGCTTTCCCATCCCCAGCCCGACGCTCTTGATTTGCAAGACTTGGATCAGAACGTAGCCGTCTCCAGAGCCGTAGGCGTCTTGGTTGCGAAGTTGCTGCCCCAGTGGCCGCCTTTGCAGCCAGGAGAGGGTGTTGTGCGGTTGAAGCCTCCCGAGGCGCCCCGTGCTGACTTGGTCCCTCATCGCTGGATATGGCTCTCGAAATTCTGGCGCTGTGATGGTTGCTGTGAAGTTTCTCGCTCAATGGATGCTCCACCGTCTGGTCACTGTCGAGGCTTGCATACGCTGGACCCCGAGGTCCTGGCCAGGCTCCAGCACAGAGTTATATCTGTGGAGGGCTCGGGTGGCGCCTCCCTCGCGGTTTGCCCGAGGGGCAGCAGGGCCTGCTCGGGCCATGGGATGGTGCGCAATCTGGCTCGTCCTTGTGTTGGCTCCCCCACAAGTGCGGGGGCCCGATATGCCTGGAAGCAGATCTTTGGGGGAGTTTACCCGAATTTCGGGTGAACTCCCAGCGAGTTTCAAACTCGCTGGGGTCAAAGTCCAGGTCGGTCCCTGGTCCCAAGGTACCTGAGGTACGTTCCAGGCGGAGCAGTAGCCCCTCGATGTTGCTCCAGAATCCTCAGGGATGAATGGCCCCGCGGAGGAAGAAATCCTCCTCCTCCTCCTCCTCCTCCTCATCCTCCTCCTCCTCCTCCTCCTCCCTCCTCAAGCCTCCTCGACCCTTCTCCTCCTCCTCCCTGCCCCCATCTCCTCCCTCCTCCCCCTCCCCTGGGTCGTCCCCCGGGGTCACCCGCGGGGACGCGAAGATATGCGCGCCTCGCGCGCCGCGGTCTGGGCCAGAGCGGTCGCCCTTGCAATGGGGGCGGCGCGAGGTCGCGAATGTGACCGTGCGTCGCGCATCGCGGGGCGCGATGTGCGACAGGACTGGACCTAACCGGTGTTTTTGGTGATTTCGTGGGCCGTTTTCGTTTCGACTTCGTTTCGCGGTAATGGCGGATGCGAGACAAACGCGAGGGACAACGAAAACGAGACGAAAACGAAGGACACCGCTCAGCTTCGGCCCTGGTGTGCGAAGTTGGGTGACGTGGGCACCGCGCTGGCGTCTCCCGAGGCGTCGCCGATCCTGGACCCAGGAAACGAAGGGTGCATAGTCTTTCTCGGCCCGCCGAGCCGACAAAGCTGCACCGTAGCCGCGCCGCACCGCGGCAGCGAAGCGGACGCCAGAGAGAGAGTGCGGTGCACGGGCGCCGCTCGCGTGCGAGGGGCGCGGCCCTGCCCGAAGACCCGGCCGCCGCGCGGGCCCTCGCGGCGAAGCTGGCCGAGCACATCGCCGGCGGAGCTCCGGGGAGGGGAAAGTACAGGCGGCCTTATCCTCCCTCCTCCTCCTGTCCGTGCAGAGATCCGACAGGAAAGGGAGGGGGACTCCTCCTCATCCGACTCGGGGACTCCGCTATTTTTTCCGAGGCCTGTCCGTGCAGAGATCCGACAGCTTAATTTTGTGTAGGCGGCCGGGATTAGTAGGTCGACCCTGCCAGATCAAGGGTACCCTTGTGTCCTGTGCCTCGCGACCCATGCTTCCTGCATTCCTG